ACATAAGCGAGAAGCAGAACTAAGGGGGCGTCCATTAATCACGTGATCGATTTTTTTAAGGATTTTTGGAGACCCCTCTCTCTTGGTGAAACTTGGTGATATTCAAAATTAACCGCCCCTCCCTCATTAAACATTACGTGTATTTTTAGTAACGAGAAAAAATGGTAAAGTTTTTGATTTGTTTTAAATGTTCAGATATTTTCAAAATATGCAAGTAAAAAATAAATAAATACGATATATTACTATAGCCCTTCCTCCCCCATGTCATATTTCGTGAGATTAGTTTTGAGAGTGTCAAAAATTTAAAGAAATGCCTATATAAACTCCATAGGTTTAGCTTTTTGATATTTTCGAGACTACCAATACATTGAGAGTCAATATCAAGAAAATATGATTTGTGGAAATAAAATGCACCAACAATACCAAATCTTCTGTCAAGCTTTTAAAGATACGACTTTGCTGGAACAAGCCCTTACATTGCACTTATTATTATTTAAGGTGATTAAAACCGTCTGTCACGTTTTTAAATATACGATGTTGTTGGACTTACTTTGCACTTATTATCATTTAAGGTCCTTAAGACCGTCTGTCACTCTTTTAAAGATACGACGTTGTTAGAAGAAGCCTTTATTTTGCACATATTAATATTTAAGGTCCTTATGACCTTCTGTCAAGCTTTTAAAGATACTAGTCTAGTCATTTAAGCTTGAATTAGGTAAGAATGTTGCGTACACTCTACCATATGTAGGTTTTGAGACAACTTTTATGGTGTCAATATACAGTATTTACAGACTTACAGCTGGGTATCTCGAATTCCGAGGTGAACTTACTATAATGACTGGACTATACGACGTTGTTGGAACAAGCCTTTACTTTGAACATATTTTTATTTAAGGTCCTTAAGATTTTCTATCAAAATTGTTTATATGACATAACAATTATTAATTTTATTTTAAATTTGCGACAATCTGAACATCATCAGTCGACGTTTTTGTTAGTCTCTTAAAAGTTATGAGCTAAAAATTCCATTGGTCAAAATTTTTCCATTATTTTGATTCTGATTCTTCTTATAGCTGGTACATTGAGAAAACTGATCTTAGTAACTTATCTAGATGATCCTCAATTTTTGATACATGAGTATTGCTTTAGTCTTTAATTACATCGCCAATGTAAGATAGATATTTAAGAAGTTATTATGGATTGTGAAATTAGAGACGGATCAAGGCGTTTCTTTAATATTTCTAAAAATCTTTGATTAAATTCTCTGCATCTTGAAATAATTGGACATACTTTCTTAGCTCAATTAGTATAATGAAAGTTTTGAGTTTTTTATATAAGCCACTGCAATTGTAGTCTTTTCAGGTGTATGTTATGAATTTTTGGCTTGTATGTATATATATATATATATATATATATATATATATATATCAAGCCAAAAATTTATAACATAAACCTGAAAAGGTTAGAATTGCAGTGGCTTGACAAGATAAGTCCAGATAAATATCTAAATTATTTATCAAGGATAAGAGTATATATTGTTATTGATAAAATATTTCAAAATGATGTAACTAACCTAAAAAAATATCTCACTTGTTTTGAAAATTATGAGCTTTAAAGTACAACCTATAGCTTTGGTAAAATTATGATTTTTTGCGATCGTCTCCTCTTTCAGAATCCATAAACTATCGTAAGTAGACGAAGTATTTAAAGGAATCCTATGAGACTTTGTAGAAGGCAATCCAAAGATTTGCCAAATCCAAATTATTGGTATACGATTCTGCCGCACAACAGAACAATGTTATGGCAAGGCCATATTACGCTCCAGCTTGCATACATTATGCTACTTAATCATACTGAATACTGTCAAAATGTCATGTATTTGCTGTGCATTCAGACGTTTTACACATAAACTGCAACGTCACTCGTATGTTATGAAGCTGGGTCAGAAAGAATCTGTTATATAAGATCGTTTTTTGACATTTGTGCGGTATCTGGGTTAGGTTTTCTATCTGACAAGCTGAGAAAAACGCCTGATTGCACAGCAACTACATGGCTTTTGACAATATTTAGAACGAATTTATATGGAAAGTTCTACATAACATAGACTTCCCATAACATTGGTCTGTTATGCGGTAGAATTAAATTATATTATAGTATACATAAATTATATTCAACTATTCTCTTTTTTTCATGTATTGTTTCATTAATCCGTTTTTGGAGATATATATTTTGGAGATACTAGAATTTAATATTTTATATGGTTCATTTTTCATTTATGGCCTTTTTTCTCATCGTTCTTCACTTTTTTTTTCATTTTAAGGCGCCTATGAAACTCGACACAAATCCGCATCAAAAAGTTTGGCTATCGAAGAAGATTATCATAAAAACTTTTTTAATTCATGTACAATCTTGGAAGTTTTTTAATGCCAATGCACTACAAACATGTGTATGCATATATAAATATATATGCATATATGTATATGTGCTCAAAACATTAACGTACATATTATTCTCGTTCTACATTTTACATTACCAAAATGTTTCTTAACAATAGAAGTCAATCCCATATTAAAAATTATAACTGCATATAGTTGAGTACGTTTTTGGTCAGTCGCGATTGTTAGGAATTTATAACACTTTGGATGACTTTTTTATTCTGTATGAAATTGGGATCGTCAAATGGTAAAGGATGGAGAATTGACAAAATCATTTTGTACATCCTTTATCAATTAGCACGATTTTGAAATAGAATTTCAATAATTTTACCTTTTTACATTGAAATTTTATTAATAATATTTTATTAAACTATGTGCATTTGCAACTGTACAATAATTTTATGTTTACCGTTAATGTATGAAATGATAGATGATAGGATGCCCCATTTTATCTTAAGTAAGATTTATGAAGACTGTTTAATAGATCAGGAAAGTGTTACTAGCATTTTATGGATAATATCACGCAAACACGCCATTTATTATTTTCTATTTTAATTTTATATTCTTTCAAATGTGACTTTATGAATATATATAAATCTTTTACCTTTCATGATTTATTTGAAGTTTATATAAACGTGTACAAAGTTCTCGCTTTTTATTTTTTTTATTAATGAATAAATAGTAATTAAAATTACATATAATTTTATAAGCAATGCGCGTAAGCTTCACACGCGATTGAAGTAAAACTTATTTGCTACTGTACAAGATGGCATTTAAGTAAAAATATGTACATTTAAGTAAAACACATTTATTAGTGTCAACCATTATACACATTTATGTAATGATAAATTATAAATTGTATATTTATAATAGCATTAAAAATACGTATAATATTTAAAAACAATAATGTAATTAAAGTCATGCTTCGAATATGACACGATCGGTTTGTCATTGTAATTAGCATTTGGAAATTAACCTTCATTAGAGTAATGAAGTAATTGCTGATTAATAAATTCTATAATATTCGTTCACACAGTGAATTATGTTCAATAATGCCTAAAAAACAAATATTGTTTTCGCAACTTCACTCATCATGTAATTGCATTTGAAGAACTTCATGTAATTAAAATTAACATACATTCATTGACTGCTTGTATCTTTTTTACTTTTTCGCTGGCGATATAATCTCATTCTTTGAATATTTTTTTCATGGTGCCTTGTTAGTATTGAAAGTTTTTTTATAGGTTCATTGGCTTATAAAAAATTGAAAGGGTGATGAATTAACTTCTTAAATCTTGGTACCATAATAATTTGTTTCCTAGATATATTACATTTTGGGTATGATTTTTTAATGTATTATTCTGCAATGATGAGTTATTAACGAGAGTTTGAAGAAGTTGCACGAAAAATCAACGCACATGCCAATTTTCTTCTTTTACAAAACATGTTTTGAAATAATCACTTACTGAGTGAACATTACCGATTTTTTATTAATTTATAAATACATGTATTTAAATATTTTTTTGTATATATAATCCTTTTTACCCCATAGTAGGCTGAGTAAAATAGGACCGTCAATTTTGAAGGAATTTTACGAAATAATTACTACATAATTCAACCAATGCAAAATATATATTTTATGGGTATGGTATGGTACCTCGATCTGGTATTTCGTCAGAAATATTCATCGGCAAAGTTGAACTTACTATTTATTGGATTCATCTTTTGCATATATAAGATATCATAATGTATTATAAATAGAGCAATTTAATTGAAAAGATGTGATTAAATAATTTAACTATATTTTTACAAAAACACCACCTTATATTAATATGTAATAATAAATTTCTCTCTCTCCTTTCAGGTGTGGATCATCTGCAAGAACTTACTAATAAACAATTTTCAATATTTTGGAATTTAGATATATAAATAAAAGAATTCTCAATCACATAATGAATGTCTAATATTCGAAATATAAGCATGGTTCAAATATTAATCAAATTCACATTAAACATACTAATAAATATTCAATCTATATAAGCAATATTTAGTTGATATTTATAAATATTTATTATATAATCAATTAATGTTTAATGCTCAAACGATTATACACAATTCTATGTTGATCAAATAATAATTTAAAATAATTTAATCTTATTCTCAAAATATAAATATTTATATAAATTGTTCACATTGTTCTGTATATAAATATATGAACGAAGAAAATGATCAACTTGCACATTCGTCATTATATAAATTTTATTCACCAGACCATCAAGTAGCACACAATTAATTTGAAATCGTATTAAATTTGTACAAAATTGGTAAAATAAGTTAAATTATTAATTCTTTAAAAGTCCGAATTCAATATTGGCCATATGATCTAAAACAATTAATTTTGGCGCAAAATATAAAATTAATATTTAATTTTAATTAAATTAAATTAAAATTAAATTAAAATTTAACAGCAATTAAATGCTGTTTGATTAACGCACAAAATTAAATCGGTTTGAAATTATAATTGTATTAAAAATTAATTAATAAATAATAAAAAAAAAATTAAATATGAGTGAATTAAGAGGACCCAGGGCTTTGGAAATGTGGGCCAGGCGTTGTTGTTCTGGTTACAATGATGTAGCCATAACAGATATGACAACTGCTTGGAGATCTGGATTGGCTTTTTGTGCAATTATCCATAGACACAGACCAGACCTCATGTAAGTAATAATTATTATTTTTTATTGATATAGATTCTCATTTTGTCTTCTTAGTCATTTTATAAAGTAGTCATAGATTTGCTCCATGAGGACATAGAAATCTAATTATAATAGCGTGAAATATAATTTAATGTCCAATTATTAAAACCAAAATAAAAATAATACGTGAAGAATTTTGAAAATTAATTTTTACAGATGTAATTAGTTATTTTTGTGATAAATATCGGTATCTATATTGATTGACTTAGAGGACATTAGCAGTATATGTGAATTTAATAGAGCATTGGACTTAGCAATGGGATACCTAAATAATATATAACTTTGTGAAGAGAATCTAGTAACGTTAAATGATGGCTGGTTATAAGAATTTAAGGACAATCTTCAGCATTGTTACAAAGTTCATTCTTATTTAGCTGTGGTGATGTTCTGAGTATTGATACAGTTATCTATGTTAAACAATGCCTTCTAGAGTTCTTTCCTCTATACTCTTTAGATACTTTTTATTTGTTACCATGTTGATTTATTTTTACCATATCAATTCTTCTCCTACACCACAATTCAAAGGTATCCAGAATGGTTTTATCGGTCACCCTAAGAGTCTTTGTTCATGTCTCTGATCCGTAAAGAGCCGTTCGTTAGGTAATTTTTCGAACCAATACTAATGACGAGTTTTGTTCGTCAGGAGGACCCGTTTGATTTCTTTCGTGCAGTATTATGTTAATATCCTTACTTAATATGTTTTCTGTCCAAGCTTTTCCTGAACATCTACGTATATACAAAAGTATTTCTTTGCGATATTTTCATACTTTTGACTTGTCTAACTATAAGTCTACTTACGTTTTGTATTTGCCTTCTTTTTCGGCGATTTTTTATCATATTTTGTAATTTGGTTTTGGTTTTTGGCAATACCAAGAAATCATCTGAGTACTTTATTTTTCAATTATTGGACGCCATACGATGTTTACATTTAGCTTATTCAATTTATTTAATATAATTCATAATATTAATTTAATAAACTTATTACCGTTTCATCAGCAAAGTTAAGAATTTTTTAACAGCTATATTCGAAAATAGAGGAAAAAGACGTATAACCAGCAATCATCTTCATTCTTTTTAGACGTTGCTATTGGGAGAAATATGGCAATGTTTGAAATATATAGCAAAAGTATTTTATTTCGTAAAGTAAGTTTTTCTGGTCGTGAGCATTGTTGTTTAGTTTGCGAGACCTTAATATAATTTTTAAGTATACGCTATTTGATTGTTTTATAAGATGTATTGTTAATTTTAAGTTGGATTTACCAGTTTTTTTATATAATATAAATAAAAGCTTTCACGTAGGTAGGATAAAAAGGACTAACTGAACCCTAGCAAAGGTATAAAATGTAGAAAACAGCAAATAAAGAAATAGATTGAGTTAAAAAAAGCTATTTTACAAGAGATAATTCAAATTAATACTTATTCCAATTCTTCTGGTGAATGTTTCTGACGAAATACCAGATCAAGGTTATTTACAGTGTTATCTCTGTTGGTTGATCAATTTTTAACTATTATTTTGTAAAATTCCTTTAAAATTGAAATAAGAAATTTGACCTGGTCGTCCCAATGTACCACGTCATGAGGTAAAACGGATCAGATTAAATTTTTCTGAAAAACTATATATGGTTTTTACAATTTAATTTCTCATAGTCATATTGGACCTTTGTGGCCCGTTCTAGCCAGGTCATAATTTATGACTATGTATGTAGTTTATGACTTAAAAGTACAATTTCGATTTAAGCAATTATACTGTTTTAATGGTGAATTATGGTGAATAAAATTCCCATTTAATTACTAAATATTGAAATGTGTTGTTTTCTAATTTTCTAAAATTTGCCATCTAGTGGCTTCATATGAGGCGATAATTAATTCCACATCCACATCTCTTTCTTCGCAAATATTGTTGATAAAAATTTTCTAGCTTCACTTGTTTCATAGATATTGGTTGCACCCAGGGCCGGTCCTGGGGTCCTCTGCGCCCGCATGCTTTTTTTCTAATATTAATATTTGGGTTTTGAAAAATTTTACTTATTTATTTTGGAGATTTTGCTCGATTTATTCTATTGAGCGCAAATCATAGAGAGAAAGAAAATAGCACACTGGTGTTTCATGTTGGATTATTTTAATTTAATTTTTTATTATATAAAATATCCAAAATTGCGTTGTAAACTTCTACTAACTGTAAATATCGTAAAGGCCAAATTGTATGTATTCATCATTACTTTCCCCTTGTATATCGTAGATTGTGGTTTCAAAGTTAAATTTTTAATGTATTTTAAAAATATTGTCCAAAGATTAATAAAAGGTGCAATAAAAATATATATTTTTCAAATGATATTGAAAAAACTATATTAAAAACTTCATAATCAAATCTCGTGTTGGCGCCCCCTAAGGCGTGCGCCCGCATTTCTTGCATGCATTGCATTCAAGGTAAGACCGGCACTGGTTGCACCCTATGCATTTTGTTTTCTTCTTTTTTTATGTATTGTATATCTGAAACAATTAAATAATTACATGTTTTTTATAATGTTCAAGAAAGAAAGTATACTGAATAAACTTGTAACGTAATTAATTTGAAATTAAAGTTTTTTTTTTTATTTTTCTCTTACTTAGATAAATATTCTCTTATAATAGTTAGATAATTTTATTTTATCGACATCCCAAATCAGTTTTACTATTTGTGTATTTGCATATACATTGTTTATCTATTATTACCACGTCTGGATGAAACAATATACAGAATCTTCATACCTAAGTGTGTTAAATAAGTGTTTTTTAAATTCGCTTTTATGAGTACGTAATTTTTGAAGGTCGTGACATTCGCCTTATTGGAAATTTGTTACGGGGTGTGGAAACATATCGATTACGAATAACGAATATTGAAGACAATGTGCATGAAATTATAAAAGTGCGGAAAATTAGTTTATGTTACGTCCTGAAAAGAAAACAGAAATTTTTAGTTGTTTTTATTTTTTTCTCTCGTGCAGTCACCGTCTTTGGTTAAGATGTTTTCCAAGTACTTGAAGTTATACATACCGTCTAATAAATGACTTTGACGATTCACTATATAGTTTTCAGTTTATTTTGTATAGGTAGACCGATATGTAACGATATATCAATGTAATTGCTCGAAGTCAAATTGAACCTTTGTGCTCCTCCTTACTCTATTTCTGGTGTTTTTTTCTTCTCTGGAAAAAAATTGTTTCCTTGGGTCAGTGATTGTTCAATCGATTCTACCAAATGCAGGTTCTGAATAGGCCTCAATTTTTTCTCTGAAATTAATACTTTATCATCTTTAATACCAAGTAAGTAGAATTTTTTACCAATCCAGACTTTCTACGAATCCGTTGACATCCAGATCAAATATCTTTCTGATATGATTCTTAGTATTCCGATAGCGTTTCTGCTAGGTATCCTACTCCTAAATTCGAATTTTCTTCCAGTTTAATATTTTTGATTGTTCAAGTTTTGAGGGATAAGCCACTACATACATAAAATTGTATTCATAAGTGAAATTGTCATTTTTGATCTCAAAATGATCTTTTCTGCTTTTTAGATGACCTTTCTCTATTTCTAATACGAATCTAACTTTTTGAAAGTTTCATGGCAGATGCTAATAAATACTCACATTATCTTGTGTTCAAATGGGATATTCTAATACAACTTTTATTACTATTAATGCAATTATAATTGCTAATCATTGCGAGTCGATAGAACCTTCTAAAACAAAAATAATATGAAGATGGAAAATGAAGATTAGCTTAATGTAAAAGTATAGTAATGTATATTTACTGTTAGATCATCAAGATGATAATTATAAGCGATTAAATATGTAAATAAATCTTAATATATTTATAATTATAGAATTTTATTGCATATATATTGCACTTAAACGTGACCTTATACTGAATATTTATTGCTTGGATAATTATGTACATGTAATGAATGATGATGGTGACATATATTTAATCTCATTTTCTTCCTAGTTTACTTGTTTATTTTATTATTATTTTAATAGTTGCATTTGTCATCTTTTATCGATTACCATATGTATAAATATGAAGCTCTAGATATTGTATCAAACATTTGAAATCTATGATGACAAATATTTTCGAAAAGGGTAATAAAAATTAGTATTTTGAAACAAAGTTGCAATGCCTCGATGGCTCAGTGATCCCATTAGTTGAGCTACACATAAAAAACATGTTCAACACGTTATTGGCCACGATAATACACACAGTATGGGAGCGGCGACCCGGCGCCAAAATGTTCCGGGTCGTCATGTCGCATTACCGAGTCTAAGAAATCAGGACAGTTTTAGTTGGATTGTTTTAGTGTTATTGTAATTTTAATATGGAGTTCAAACAATGGTTAACTTTCGTTCTATGAGGTGTTGTGCTCGAACTTTTTTTAGGCGGTATTTAGATGGCAACCCAATGGTTAACCCAACTGATAGATATTTTGATTATTAAAATTAATCTAATTTTGTTAATATATTTTTAATTTAGAGCCCATAATCCAAACAAAATGATGAATTATTCAGGAACAAACTTCACTTTTTGTTTTTAGAAATTCGACATTGTACTTGTAGAAAATAAAGAAAATATTAAATATTAAATATCCAAACAAAATTCACTTGGGTCATGGTAACTTTATTAGATAATTAAAATAAAAAAAAAAAATTATCAAGTCAACTTGATGTATTAAAGAAAAAAAATGTTTTGTCAAAATTCTTGGAAAAAACACTACTTTTGATGTCACACATATATGACTGACTTTTGGCCTTCTACAAAATTGCGCATGTCATACTTCATACATGCCTCTTGTAGAACTACCATGGCGATTAACGTGTTAATAGCCACAATTATTATTTTTTACTAGTATAAATTATGATTCTAAATTAATCCAGATTTCAAACTTAGTAAATCTATTGTACTTTTTAAGCAGAATTTATAATTTTATTTATTTTCCAGCGACTATGAATCTCTGTCGCCCAAGGATCCCTTGAAGAATTTACGACTCGCCTTCGACATTGCCGAGAGATGTTTGGGTGTTCCTGCTTTATTGGATGCTGAAGATGTGATGACTTCACCAGACAGACTTTGTGTATTGACCTACCTTGCTCAGTTTTATTCAGTTTTTAACAACAAAGACAATAAAGACGGTTCTAAAAACGGTGGTGCTATCGGAAGTGTTGCAGGCAACAAAGGTTAGTGGATAAATTAATTTAAAATAAACAACTTGCCAATAGTTGGACATAGTTTTAAGTACCAGCATTAAAATTTACTTGAATTATTCTGCTTCTTGTGAAAGACTTCTTATTATATTTGAACCAGTCGTGCAAAAACTTTTTCAAGTATTACATTGATTTGTTTAGAATCATACAAATATTCTTCTGTATAAAATGTAAACTTTTTCAACAATAAATTACTCCCAATCTATTAATATTAGTTAATGCAATAATAATAATGATGCTTGCAATAAAGTTTCTACTTTTAAATGCGGTGGAGCGATCTTGTATTTTTGATTGCAATGTTTCCAGGACTTTTCGTTTTGGAATTATTTTTATTTCATAGTTTTCTTTTAAACCTATTTTTTATTAGTTTAAATTTTGGATAGGTTTCAGTTTTTTTAAAGAAAACATTCTTTGTACACGCAAGTGATATAAACATTCTATACACTAAACATTATGTATAAAGAATATTAAGAGGTTTTGCTCAATCTGTTTTTTATAACTAATTAATATAGTTTATATTTATAAATAAAAAGTAATATTGTTTATAAATGTAGATATGCAAGACATTTTGGAAATCACATCCAAAAATATTATTTCCTGAAATAGTTAGAACAATGATATTCATAACTAGTGATGTATGGCATCGTGCCTTAAGGCAAATTGCTGGAACTTTTAATATCTTAATTAAATATTCGAGAAATATTTTATATATTCTTATTTTATGAAAATTAAATGAACAAAACTAAATCAATCGAATTTAAAATGAAGAACATCGTCAAATATTTCTAAGTAGGTATTACGTAAACTGAATTGCAAAGTTAAAATTATTTGTTTGAAGTATATTAGTGATGTTTAGAACTTTAGTAAGAATTGGAATTAAAATCCGAAATATTTTTCGATATTCAAAAAAAATTTTTTTTTTGAAAATTAAGAAAAAAATTGCATTAAAAAAAATTCTTTCCCCAAAAGCAACCGTCTCGTCAACACAAGCAGATTTTTTTTTAAATAGTTTAAATCGGATGCTTAGTTTTCTCAAAAACTGACTATCTGCCTTTACCAAAATTTAATCACCACTTTTCCTCATTCGAATCGAATGTTTTTTGGATCATTCAAATCGATTGATCTCTTGAAAACTGACATTTTTACACTTTTTGCTCCATATCTCCGAAGTCGCTGAATCTGTCTTCGTCAAAAACTAATCAGAACCTAATTTTTGAACCATTCAAATCGGTTCATATGTGCGCCCGAAATTGTCGACGAAAAATTGTCTCCACACATACACACACACCAATTTTTCTTGAGGTATGCCAAAATATTCAAAAACTTCTGAAGTGAACATTTTCATTTTCGATTTTTGGCCCATTACTATACCTTACCGTTAGGGGAGTTAAAAATGCCTTTTAATCAATAAAAAATTGGCTTAGTTTGAACTAATTTACATACCTACTCAAAATCTGTATTTTAAAAATAAAACTTTGCCATTAATTCTATTTTAGTGACAATTCTGTTTTATTATTTTGAAAACCAGTCTCATGTCTAACGTACTGTTTAGCTTTGATATTTATTAATATTTGTGTATTTTGATTGCAATCGAAACTTTTTATTATGATTTTTGGTCATTATCACCAATCATCTGTAAATAAATATATAACATTAAAATTAGTGCTTTTTCAATATGAAATATAAATAAAGTATAAGAATCGCTAATAACTGATATCATCAACAGTATTCTGCATTACTTTTTTATGTGAATTTATTTTTGTGAAAAGATTTGTTTAAATGATACATCTCCTTCGTCATGCCTGGATTGACGCATACCTGGCTGCATTTTATTTACTTTATATTTTTTGTAATTTTTTGTAAAACTTTATGATATTTCAGTTTATATCATGTGATTTATTCGATCGTAAATGTTCAAATTTGAAATGCTAAAAACCCCGTTGCGCTAAATAAATAAGTATACAAAAGTCACCGCATAATACATACATATTTTTAAAGCATGTTGTTAATTAATTTACAATGCATAGTATTTTGACTTTCATTACATATGCATAATTCAATGTATATTTATAATCTTCTGTCGCATAATAAACGTGTGACACTTTTTCTTACAATGGCTTTCTAAATTAATGTGAAAGGATTCAAGCTGGCCTGTCATTTTTGTGCATTCAAGCATTCACATGAAACGGGGATCGTCCAGTTAATCGGATTTAATCGTATTGGCAAACAATTAAAACATAAATAAATCATTTTGATTATATCGTTCTCATTTTTATTAAAATCACTCGAAATATTGTTGACTCTGTGATCGCTGTTCTATATGATTAAATGAAAAACTAGTGGGGTGTATGGAATCGTGCCTTAAGGCAAATTGCTGGAACTTCCGTACCGTAACGAAATGTTTGAGGAATACTGAATGTTTTCAAATAAATTATTATAAATATTGTAACATTGTCTAATATTTATAAGAATTATATAAATTGAATTGCAAATTTAAAATTAATTGTTTAAGTTATATCAGAACTTTAGTCAGTATAAAAATAAAATCTGAATTATTTTCGATACACAAAAAAAACTAAAAAAAAATCCAAAATCAATTATTTTGTTAAGACAAGCAGAAAGTTCATTGAATCATTTAAATCGGACGCTTAGTTCTCTCAAAAACTGCCATTTTTTATATATTTAGCTCCGTATCTTCGAAATGGCTGGGCCTGCCTTTGCCAAAAACTAATAAACACTTCGACCAATCATTACTAATTGAATGTTTTTTAGATCATTCAAATCGGATACTCCATTGTCTTAAAAAGTCGATTTCTATTTTCTGCACTCTTTGCTCCGTATCTCCGAAACGGCTGGACCTGCCTTCGCCAAAAACTAATCAGCTCTTTTCACTATCAATATGAATCGAATGTTTTTTGAACCATTCAAATCGTTTGATCCGTTCGCCCGAAAACGTGACTCTTGATGCACACATTTATTAGTGTCAACCATTATGCACATTTATATAATGATAAATTATAAATTATATATTTATAATAGCATTAAAAATATGTATAATATTTAAAAACAATAATGTGATGAAAGTGATACTTCAAATATGACCTGATCGGTTTGTCATTGTAATTAGCATTTAGAAATGAACCTTCATTAGAGAAATGAAGTAATTGGTGATTAATAAATTCTATAATATTCGTTCACACAGTGGATTATGTTAACCAACGCCTAAACAAATATTGTTTTCGCAACTTCACTCATCATGTAATTGTGTTTGAAAAACTTCATGTAATTAAAATTAGCATACATTCATTGATCACTTGTATTTTTTTTACTTTTTTGCTGGCGATATAATCTCATTTTTTGAACAGCTGCAATATCCTAAAAATATTTTCCATTTTAATAACTTAAAAGATTTATAGAAACTACGAATAATATAGGATTGATTTCTAATCAATCAATTTTGTTTATAATAAATTATTTTTTTATTATTTTCAAGGAATAGAGTAAAATATTTTTCTGATTCAGGCGTTTTTCATTAAATCAAGATTTGTATTGCGATGTAACTTTAAAATGTTTATTTATCTATGCCGGTTTCCTTTTTGATATCGATACGCATACAGCGTTGGTCCTGGTACGCATACAACGTTGATGCCGGTACACATACAACGACAGAATTCTATTCATATACACAACGACTAATTTCAAGCGACCCGTATTGAAATGATCTCATCGAGAGCGAATGGACGTGCAGTTTGGGCGTAACGCTATTTCCGTTGCATTTGTTTACGGATTTACACCCTAGTCGCGCTTAAAGAAGTTTTACTTCAAAAATCAAAATTATAGAATAATTTTTGCTTTTTTATTTGTTTTGAGTGTGTTATCCAAATAAATTAACCGAATATGAATTTATACAATTATAAATAGGCATAAAGGTGCAATCGTAATATTATTTATGTTATACACGAGTAAATTTTATGACACATGGTTAAGTACTTATTTGCTTCTGGTTCTATGCATGCAAACGGTAATGGTCTATTATATTGTTAAGATTAATTACCTGATTGAATTGATAATTAATAATAAATTAAACACACATGCAGGTTAAAGTTTTGAATTGAATCAACAATCATGAATGATGAAAGCAAATCTTGTTTAGATTTTATTAAATGAATTTTGCATAGTTTTTAATCAGTTTTGAAATAAATATTTGCTTAAATAATATATGAATTGATGTGTGAAAGATTTGGAAAAAAGAAAATATCCATCTCTTATTAATTTTTTCTGGACTAGATTTAAATTTAGGGGAGACTGGGTGTGCCAGGGTACGGTAGTTACAGTCGTCATAATAGCTAACTATACTGATTTTGAAATAGGGTAGAGAGGGAGAAAGATGAAGTGAATTTGTTAGAACAAGTTTCCATTATTGCATAAGTCAATTGCATTAACAGTGAAATGAATAGAAAACATATTTAAATATAAAAAAATAGATGTATTCAAGAGAGCCATATGATAAATCTGAGAACATACAACTTATTTCATCGTATATTATCTTTCACTATATTATATAATGTCAAATTGTAAACGGTCATAATATTGTAATAAATTTCGCTGGAGTATAAAATTTATATATCACCAAAATTAGTCTAGATATGGATCGGAAAATTGCCGACAAAATACTTAGTATTTCAACCGTCTAGGAGCATAGGTTTTCAAACATGTTTAGGCCATGGATCCCCTATTTAGCCGATATCGATTTTTTCTATAAATTTGTATTTGTATTATACATTTAAAGTGAAGTCCAAGTTAAGACATTTATTAATTGACTTCATAATAATAATGAAATAGATATCAACAAGGTGTTTTGTGATCCACAATCGTGGATCTCCATGCTTCCTTTTTATTGAAGTGGACCCTTCGAAAGCTGTCCTGGACCTCTGAAACTCTGGGAATCACTGGTTTAAAGCATTTATATGAAC